AAAAATATACTAATATATGTTGACTCTAGGCCACGTATGAACTGTTGTCCTATTATAATAATAGAGTTTGTCTCATAATCATTTGCATTGAATACAAGGCTCTTTCCAGAAACACCTGCTTTACTCTTACTAGTTGCCTTTCTCACATTTTTACTGTTTGTAAAACAGCAGTTACTGTGACTATTACATTCTCAGCCATTTTATATTATCTAACGTCGAACGGAAATTTAAATATTTTTGGATCTATTTATTTTAATTCAAAAGTAAAATTTTAAGCCAATCAGAAAATACAACACCTGCTGTGTGGTGAATCGAATCTCTTTTACTCTGTGATCAACATGACACACACCTGCTCTCGTTGTGACGCCCTTGGCCGAAGAAAGCACTAACATCTCATTCTAGAACTCCCCTGATCAAATATGATTGGATATATCATGTATTGTTTTCATACCAGGGAACAATATCATTGTAAGCACTTAATTAGGCACTGACGTTGTAAAATTCGGTTCTCATAACAACCATGCTTAGAGGCGAAACATGTTATGCATTAATTTTAAAACAAAGCTATGGAGAATCTTCATCTTAATGAAAACACATGAAAATTGCTGCGCAGCAGCGGAATAACTTTCAAACTCAGACTCGGCTACAAAGATTGAACTGGGATAAGTCACTTTGAGTATATTCTAACGGACGAGGAAATAACCGCCAGTTATTTGAACGTTAAATCGCAAGTTACTTAGCAACTTGGTGTTTAATCAGCAGCCTAGCATTTACAGCTGTTGTCATACTCAGTGGCAATTTTACCGCCGTTCGCGTGTTAACGTTTTTTAAGTCAGCGCTTCAGTATTTGTCATTAACGCAAGATGGGAGACAAGAGCAAAATTAAAACGGGAAATCTTGAAGCTAATGTTATGGAGGAAAGCGAACTGTCAAAGAGATTAGGTCGCATTAAAAGACAAACGGACTATTTTGTAAGCAAAATTGAATCGGAACAAACCGCTTTGGCTAAGAGATTTTTAAGTCATCTAAAAAGAAGCACGAGGATAGCTGAAGAGAAAGAGGCTATGGAAAGAACCTTTAAATCTATGCGATGGAATCTTGCTTTTGATAGTCAGAATTCTGGACATCTAATGACAAGCTCAAGAAAGTTTGGAACACGGAGGGAACTCGAATGCCAGGAATTGAAGCAGGATCATGGTGTATCTAGTGAAAAATTATTATTTGACAAAAACCCATCGCATGTGTTAAAAAGAATGAGTCAGCAGTTTGAAGTGCCTTACAAAAAGATTTACTCGTTTAACACAAGTGAGTCAGACAGACCTGCGACTGTCTTAGACATGCGCTGTAAGATGTGGCAACGAATCTCGTTCTGCGGAGATAAGAAGGAACGAGCGAAAAGTGCTTGCCCTCCGTGGACGAAAAATTATAAGGCGCCGAGACACATTCAACTCGCTCACTATCGGGCGTTAAAACATATAGGCATGAAGACGAACCTAGTGAGCGCTCCAAGCAGACAGCCTGAAATTGATGTCGAGGCTTTAGCAAATTACCGTAGCCGAGAAAATGAGGTTGAAAAACGAGTTATTTCTCGATTCAACGAAAGTCTGGAACCTTACAAGATACGGCCGGGTCCAAATCAAATCGTTTACGATACAAGCAAACTCTACGGAGAATTGGCGAAGCTCAATTACAGACTTAAGAAATAATCGCGTTTTAATTGTGTTTAGTGGGCATGTTGCACAATACCGTAAAATTCCGAAAATAAGCCCCTCCAAATATAAGCCCCCCAAACTCGTAACGCAAAAAACCCTCCGTTAAATCGCCCCTCCGAATATAAACCACCGGTCGTTTGTACTTGGAAATTGTCCTCAAATGCAAAGTAAAACAAAGCAATAACGGTACAGTAACATAAACTTTTGTATTTACCAAAGAACTATTACGTGTGCCAAATGATTGCAGTTCGGAAGTGTCACAGTTTATTGCTTTTTGCGTAGTTCACTCTTGGATTCCCTCGGTCCATATTGAGACAAAGTACTTGTATGGATGCGTTTTAGAAAGGTCATCCTCAAGGCGTGTTTCAGTAAAACCTTTCTGCAAATTACTGACATAAATTTCTTTCCAACTATAAGCTAGCCCAATCGATTTAGGGACGCAAATTTCCCTCCAAGTATAAGCCTAGCCGATTTTGAAACGCAAATTTCCCTCCGTATATAAGCCCCTCCAAAAATAAGCCCCTGAAAAAGGGCGTTTGAAAAATATAAGCCCTGGGGCTTATTTTCGGAATTTTACGGTATTTACACGAAGGTAGGGGTAGCTAGCCTGCGCCACAAACGAATTTAGCTATAAACCTCTAAACGCTAGCGCCGAAATCCTTGTTCTGGATCCCACCTGTGTACTGGGATTGGAGTATGCGTCATGTTTGGCCTGAAAAAAAAAATCCAATTGTCGACTTGCAAATCAGGTTGCAGGGAAACCCGAAACTCACCTTCGGTAATTCGTTGAGTACGATGGGGGACAAGGACAAGGATCTCGGTGCTACTTCGCATACAGTATTAATCGGGGTTACACTACGTCTGCGAGGCAGGCTAAGGCAGGGGTTAATTTGCAGAACACCGAACGGCGGTCGAGCGCCCAGAGAAAGATATTTAGACATTTGGGGTAGGAAGCAGAGTCAATCAAGTTCCATTTCAGTTGGCCCTAATGTATACATGTATGAGGAACGTAGGGTGCGACACTGGGTGAAAACGTCACTGATCATGAAATGATTGACTTCTCATCCATTTACTGTGAAACTCACAAAACCATGAGCACCAGAAATATTTATGGAATGTTGTTGTGTTGCGAGAAATTAGCCAATAAGGCGCGAGATAACTAATAAAACCGCAAACAGCAACGGTAATTAGTTTGAGGTTTGCTTGTATATATCCTGGACTTTATTGTGATTGGCCAGTACATAATCAACATTCCTGAAAATTTTCAGGTGTTCACAGTTTTCTAAGTTTGGCAGTAAACTTTTTCGCGATGATTGGAACTCGTCAGTCCTTTTAAAGTTGGGAATGAAGCGGCCGTTGAATTGAAGGGAGAGGATCATAGTGTTGGAAGTCATCAAATAGATTATCGCCTTGCCGTTCACTTCTCTAATAGAACTTTAAAAAAAAAAAGGTCATTTCACGTCGTATATAAAATTGTTGTTTTGCTTATATTAAACCTATTGAATTTTTAGCGTTCCCGTTGCCTTCGAGGTCGTAGTTTTGTAAGGTCCCTATAAAACAAAACGTCATAGTCATTCAGCTTTTAGTGGCGGATTCAGACCTTCAGATAAGGGAGGGGTGGGAGGGGGGACGGTCATCCAGACCGTGAAATAAGGGGCGGGGGGGGGGGG